TGCTCAGAAAAGCTTTTGTTTGATACGCAAGAAAGAAGGGGATTATTTGAGTTTCTGAAAAGATCTCACTTAACTTTTATTGAGTAAGAAAACTTAAAAAATAGTATACTTGGTTTTTTGTCTTATCTGAGTCTTAATATAGAATATGATGTTTATAGTAAAATCATGGCAATTAATATCCTTATATGCTTGTGTAATATATATTTTCACTCACTAACAACTAGGCCAGCCTTGACTCCGAGCTTTTTCTTTTTAACAATTTATCCTCTGCATTATCAGTGTTTAATATTATATTGTTATACTACCCACACTACTTGCCCAGTACAATTTTATGTCAGTCAAGTAAATCTATTAACTAATTCGCCGGATCATAAAAAGTAATCCAAAAAATTATGTTCGGGCATTTAAATTATCTTGAAAACAGGAGTTCAGTTGGGTGGCTTTAGAGCAAGGGTGTCAAACTCAAGGCCCGGGGGCCAAATCCGGCCCGTGACTTCATTTGCTGAGGCCCCACAAGAGCTTGCAAAGAATATAATATGTTTATTATAAGGTTACATGCCGATTTACAGAAGCACGTTGCCCATAAACTACATGTCCCACAATGCATCTCAAACTTTACTTNTGTGTGTGTGTGTGTGTGTGTGTGTGTGTGTGTGTGTGTGTGTGTGTGTGTGTGTGTGTGTCACTGAACCGCTGACAGGCAAACAAGAATCCTACTTGTCAAATGACAAGTAGGATTCTTGTTTGCCTGTCAGCGGTTCAGTGACACACACACACACACACACACACACACACACACACACACACACACACACACACACACACACGCCCGCAGACTCGTGAAATCACAGATTGGCAGACGTGCATATGCAGAAATGCAAAAAAACGTCTACGCTGCACAAAGACTTTATTTACTCTGATGCACATATGCTTAAAGCTCCACACACACCCAGAGAGAGATGACACCCCGCTCCGGTCTCCGGTGCGGCCCGGGGTCTCGGGTGGGTCCCCGCAGCATTAATGAGCCGGTATGTTTGATGAAGAGGACCCAGTCAGTCTGGCTGGGCGGAGACAGCACCACTAACAGCTGCTGTCACCACCGCTGAGGGATCACACCACTCCACCAGCTGCCGCCACTAATTCATCACACACACACCGAGTCGCGCGCAGATGGATTCACACACACCTACGCAAGCAATGAGCACACACACATATGGGCAGCCACAAGATTGATGCACATGCCGGTACACAACGAGATGCCCTGTGTGTGTGTGTGTGTGTGTGTGTGTGTGTGTCTGCTATCTCTGTCACACACACTCACACATCTATATGTACACACACTGACAGGCTCCACCCTCCTCCCCTGCTGTTTCTCTCTCTCTCTCTCTCTCTCTCTCTCTGCCTTATGCACCAGCCTCTCCCTTCATTCCTGGTTTACCCGACTCCATCTCTGCGTATTCTCCATCTGCCTCTCACAACATTCACCGAACGTAGCATGCTTCCTCGGATTTCTGTTTCTGCACAGTGAGCCTTTTACAGTACTTTGTGGAATTAATTAGTAGTGAGAAAGATCATCTCTTTGATCTTTGGCATTTTGTCACCGCATATCCCAAAGATCACTTGTCACTCAACAAACGTGCCCAGATATAATCCTTGAAGCAGCAGGTGAATTGGCTCAGGAATCCAAAGAGAATTAACACCTGACTCTGCAGTTCCTCTCAGCTCTACAGAGCGTCTTCCAGATCATTGTCGAGGGTTTTCTGGTTGCTGCAGGCAGCTCTCATAAATAATATGGTTAAAACCCAGCTGTTAACTAGCTGCAAGGATCCAAAAAGAAACAGGCAATGTTCAGACACCAAAAAAGAGGGTGCAGATGGATGGACACAAACACAACTTGAATTTTCTAGCAATGTTCCTTCACTTTTTAAGTTGATGTGTCAGTGTTGACTCTAACGCTTTAAAAAAATGCATGTATTGCAGCTTTACCACTGAGGTATTCTGTGTGCAAACGCATCCTTGTCTTTAAATCCCCTGTGTGTAGATTAACGATTTGTATCCAGTAACGGAAAAGGAAAATTCAGCAAGCATTAATAACATGAAATCTGTTACACAAAGAGACCTTACAGAATAATGTTTTATGGCTATTGCTGAGAATCATTGCTGGTACTAAAAAATACAAAAACTGGGTTACATATGTTGACGAAATAATACAAATAATGACGTGTTTTTCATTGGATTACCTGATCAAATATGTGTCTTTTCTCTCGCTGGAGCTCTTTCACAGTCCAGCTATTGTGCCTGATAATGCTCACGCTAACCACTCAGCGCCCCTTGAAAACACCTTGTTGCTTTTCAGTGCAACAAATGTGTCACAAATTGTATTCTACACGTGTCGTTCCTCTCAAGGGGTCCAAAATTTTAATGAGCTCGATAGTGCTGGAAACAGAGAGCAGCCAAACAGACATTCTCTATACAAAATGTAATGTAGTTCTCATCAGACATTTTCAAGTGTTCGCCGCGTCATTTCATCTTCCACTCTGTTTTTGAATGTGGGCATCACAGTAGATAATTGCCTGAGCTTGACTCTCTATTCCTCTTATCTATTCCTATTCTTCTTTGCCATATTTCCTACATAAACAATATCACTGTGGTCTCTCTGAACGGAATCACTCCGCCACTGCCTATAGGTTTCACACTCAAAAAGCACAGCATTTAAACAGGCACTTAACCTACAGCACCGAGCACTCAGAGGCTGCCTTTGAGCACGCATCGCCATCATTACCCTTGAACCGAGTCTCTCAGCGCGTCAGTCATTCCAGCCTCATCAGTACCAGCCAGGGATCCTATGATGGCCTCTACGCCACAGGGCTCATACCCAGAGATGGCAAAAGTGCACACATCCTTTACTCAAGTAGAAGTACAGATACTCGTGTTTAAAAAATACTCTGGTAAAAGTAGAAGTACTGACTAAACTTCTTTATTCAATGTACTGAAATAAAAAGTACCCATGACTAGCAGCTGTTTTAAAGAGTACCTGACCTCCCTTTATATTAATAGAACAATAATGTCATTGTTAGCTAATGAATGTTTCCATGCTGAACAACGGCAACATGACAACGTTTTCATTGGTCCCTCTTCTTTAGAGAAGACCAGGAAATGATGGATACACGGATCGTGTTCAAATCAATAGGCACGCAATGACTCTAAATAATAATGATCACGCCACCAAACACACATTCAAACTAAAGGAACCAGCCTGTTTGGAAAATGTGAGAAGTAGAAAGTACAGGTATTTGTGTTCAAAATCTAAGAAGTAAAAGTAAGAAGTTGAACAAATTTACTTAAGAACAGTAACGAAGTATTTGTACTCCACTACTTCCCACCTCTGCTCACACCACACATTGATATCATGCAGACATTGCAGCTCAGGTGCCGAGTTCTGTCAAAACAAAAAAACTGAACACGAGTACTCCTGTCGGGACGCGGCTGTAGATTATTAGGGCAGTGAGTTAGCTTCCACCTTTGGGGCTAGTCGTGAACCGGCAGCCTGTAACTCGGGGGAACTACCTGTGTGGCTTGTTCTGTCAGCTCCATGGCTGCTGTACTCTGCTCAGGATATTGAACAGCAAGTTGAGGTAATCAGTTTTCAGCTCTCAGGTTCAGTGCCCCTCTTTTCCTTTATTCTTTTTCTCATTTCATATCCAGCTTTCTTTCTATCCTCTCATCTCTTTTCCTCATCCCTGTCCTCCTCCTCCTCCCTCTCTTCCTCTCCCTCTCCCGCGAGTGTGTGATAGGCAGCGTTAGCCGGTGGGTGCTGCACGGTCTGATTACTGTGAACCATCCACAGCTGCAGCCGCCTAATGAGGAAAACACTCCCATCAGCCCGTAATTGCTGTTTAAGAAGCTGGGTGGCACGAGTGTTGCAGAGTCGCTCAGACCGGCTGCAGAGCAAATCACAAACCGCCCGGCAACCCATTGACAACACAGCATGTGTCACTCTGTGGGCTTCCATTTTTTTATTTATAAGAAATCCTTGTTTTTTTTCCCCCAAGTGCCTCTCATTTGGTATTCTTCCCGTCAAGACTTTGTATGATATCGAAGCTAATTTACGAGATGAGGAATGAGAGTGGGATGGGGATTTGGAGACAGAACAAAAAGGGGAAGCAGGGAGAATATGAGAGAGAAAAGATCGGAGAACATTGAAGGGGAGAAAGAAAACAATTAAATAATAAGAGTAATGAAAAGACAGAGACAGGAGAAGGCAGAGGAAGAAAAGGGACTCAAATGAGATTAAGAAGGAAGACATATTAAAGGATAAGGCTGGGGATTTCTTCAGTCTTCTAATTGTCAACAAATCTCAGGAAACCTCGAGTTGTCCATCCATCAATAATCTTTAACTTCCCCCAGCAATGGTACTCAAGCCGATTAGTTTCCACTGACAACGGATAACATCCTAAAAACGGTTGTCGCAAATACATATTTATATATATTTTATTATGTTGCTGTGTCTTAGTTTTGCAAATGTTACTCAAACAGCAGTAAATATTGCATTTTCCGTGGCCACCTATTTACATGCGCTTGTGAATATTTACAGCACCAGCACAATGAAATAAACCACGGTTCCCATATTCATCGCATTGAAGATTAATGTAATGGTGTGGCTCAATAATGTGTTTTTAATAGTGGACATAAATATCTATATCTTTGACTACATAAACAGTGCTTTCTACCATGATAAATAGAAAATCACCAGCTTTTAACTTTACAATATGAAAAAAAAAAACAAGCAGAAAGAAGAGGGAAGAGAGAAGTTTCAATACCGACAGACTGAGAGAGAAGCGAAATGAAAAATTGGCAGGTAAGGGACAAACGGAAAAATATTGAACGGGTATGAAATTAGAGGCAAGTGGAGACAGACAGGCAAAGGGAACAAAGAAAACAATATCAGCCATGTGTTGTTACAAGTCAGAGAGCAGGGCTTTGAGAGATACAAGATGAAGGTCAAGCAATAAAAAATGTTGAAACATTCCTCGCTCTTTTCCTCCCAGAACCCTCCAGACTGCAGTAAGGCGAGAAAGCTGGTGTGTAACATCAATAAGGGCTGTGGTTATGGCTGCCAGCTGCACCACGTGGTGTACTGCTTCATGATCGCGTACGGCACGCAGCGCACGCTCATCCTGGAGTCCCACAACTGGCGCTACGCCCCCGGGGGCTGGGAGACCGTGTTCCTGCCCGTCAGCAACACCTGCACCGACCGCGCCGGGGCCTCCACCGGACACTGGTCAGGTACGTGTACACACACACACACACACACACACACACACACACACACACACACACACACACACACACACACACACACACATATACACAACCATGGATCTAATTTCCTGCCATAACTCCGCAAACAAACTAAACGTGTTTTACAAATGCCTTTTATAAATCACTAATGAACACAGTGTGGTTTGCAAATACAGAACGCCATCTACAAGCTAATGCTCTACGTTATGTCACCAGATTTTTGTTTTTGTACTCTTAGAAAAAAACGTTTTGTACTTGTCAAACCTAAGCTGAATTTGTCCCTGAAACATGATTTATTAGAAAAATGTAATGTGTTTGTTTGATAGATACGTTTTATATTTGCAAAAACTAAACGCATTAGTTTGTAGATGCTGTTTTGTATTTGCAAACAACACTGTGTTTGTTAGTGAATCATTTCGGCATTTGTAAAACTTTAGTTTGTGGAGTTATGGCAGGAAATTAGCTCCATACATAGCCTCAGTGCCCTCATTGGTTGCTTATCAATCAAATGACCCTTGTGTGTCTCGGTCCATCTCACCTCAAAGACAGGGTCTGCCAGGCCCCTCTTTTGTGCAGCTACAGCGGAAAAACAAAGTGTGAATTCCCTGGCTAAGCACGACTGAGCAATTTCTGTTGAAGCACTTTGGCAGCCAATGTAGCAGCAGCCGGTTACTGTAGAAAGGTTTCATTGCCAAGAAAGCCTGTGACTTGAGTTCAGTGAACAACCTGCTCCTCTGACCTGCCGTACGTTTAATACAAACAAAGAATGGATTAACCAACTCTTGCAGAAATGTTGTTTATTTGTTAGAACGGAAGATCCTAGCAATGTTTTCATTTCTATCTGTATTCTGAGTATCTATCATCATGGCGTATTTAAGCAATAGCTCACGACAGGCCGTGGTATATGCTCATTATATCACAGCTAAGGGGCGTGGTTCGGCCCGACGCAAAGCGGAGGCTCAACTTTACCTCACCTCAAGCTCAACCTTGACAAGACTGAACTGCTTTTCCTTCCGGGAAAAGATTGTCCCACTCTTGACCTAACAATCAACATCGGCACCTCTATTGTTTCCCCGACTCAGACTGCAAGGAATCTGGGTGTGACCCTAGATAACAAACTGTCCTTCACTGCAAACATCGCTGCTACAACCCGCTGCTGCAGATACACTCTTTACAACATCAGGAGGATATGTCCCCAGCTGACCCAGAAATCAGCGCAGGTTCTGGTCCAGGCTCTCGTCATCTCACGCCTAGACTACTGCAACTCCCTCCTGGCTGGTCTACCTGCATGTGACATCCGACCTCTGCAGCTCATCCAGAATACAGCGGCTCGTCTGGTCTTCAACCTTCCTAAATTCTCCCACACCACGCCGCTCCTCCGCTCCCTTCACTGGCTTCCAGTAACTGCTAGAATCCACTTCAAGACACTGGTACTTGCTTACCATGCTGCGAATGGATCTGGCCCTTCCTACATCCAGGACATGGTTAAACCGTACACC